TAGCCCTGATGTTTTTAAAATTTACCAGCGGTTTCTGGGTAACAAAAAAAAAAAAAGAATTCTGTGTGCATTACTAAATATTCTAGTTCTTTTACCACTTTTCTTTATTCCATTAAAAGCATCTTTGGGTCTCGATCAATTTGGGATCATCAGTTTTATTTGACTACTTACAGATGTACAGACGTTTATTTTACTACACCACTGATGGTTAAAACATGTTCATGTATTTAAGAAAATAAAACTGAATTGATCGAGGGTGGCCTCGCACCATGATTGTGGCGCCCTTGATTACTGTAAAAATCTTGTGACAACTAGCTCTCCTCTATGTCTTGTTTCAAAGAGTAAATCAAGATTATAACCCCAAGTTAAACACAGAAGATGAAATACTCTGCCCATCTCACATCAACATTAACAGCTCTATTAAGCTCAGGGTTGGTTAGGCCTGTTATGGATCACGTTTCAGATTGATTACATCTTTCTCAGCGTCCAGTGTTTCTTTGCACTAAATCCCAATTTGTTCCACTCAAAAGGTCTAAACCAAATTTTTAACTCAAATTGTCATTTTTCAATTGAGTGTTTAGCTACTTTGCTTCCATTTTTTGGCAGAATGCCAAAATGACACCATTTAAAAATCAAGTCTTATATAGGCTAACTTAAAAAATGAAGTTGAAATTGGTTAAATTAATATGATGAGATAAAATAATGGAAAAACATATGTTGCTATGACTTATTAATTACCATTTTTACAGTGCAGAACGCTGAAATTACATGCGGCGCACAACCCAGCAAACTCTCGGATGCAGCCCTGATTTGTTAATATGACTGATAACATTTATGTTCATTATATGCTATTTGGTGTTAAGAAAGCATTGTTCATGGCTCGTGATGCTGTAGTGCTTCTGTACCACACACAATCGCTATTGTAGCCTACTGTAAAACTGAAACATTGGTGAACGCGTTTGGAAACGACGTTTTGAGGGAAATACAATCTGAATAATTTGACGTCACAATAAGACATCCTGCAGTGAACGACTCAAGACGTTTTATTTTTATTTTTTGGCAGAATTACATATTGTCACCTCCCACATCATTAAAACAATTACGATATAGATGACAAATAACCCACACTCCTAGCTAACTACTTTTCTCATCCTAAGTGACCAGTGCGTCTCATAGAGCCGTTTATATTGAAACTTTTGCCACAACCACAGGTGATTAAACATACCGGTCTGAGTTGACCTCACAGATCAAATACCTTTCTTTCCATTTCTCCTTAAATGCTAATATAAGCCCTGTGTTTTCACTCTCTCTTGTGAAGTCTTGTTTGTGTTACACTGTATTTCTGAGCTCTCTCTCTGGTTACATGTGTTATGGTTTTGATCTTGTGCCTGGTTTCCTGGATTTCCCTGTTTGCCTGTGTTTGGGACTCTGTCGTTTGTATTGTTTGACCCTTTGCCTGGTATTTAGATTATGATTGTGGATTACTCTTATTAAAGCTGCGTGTGGATCTTCAACCCAAGTCTTGGAGCAGTTCATAACACAAATACACTTTATATAATTTTCACTTTATTTAGTTTTTTATTATTTTATGTTATTGTTCAAGTCATCCGGGGCTCAGATTGGACATCTTTGTGGGCCGTATGTTTGACACCCCTGATCTAGACAATATCTAGTGAATCCAAATTGATTCTGCACTCAATTACATGGTCATTACCTATAAAACAAGACAGTGAAAGACGACACACATGACAGTGTGATGCTGTGTGTCTCTGTGTCTTCAGTCTCTGCTGATTGTGTGACTGTGACGTCTCTGTAGCGGCTCTTATTCACCGTCAGCTGATCCTGAGAGAACTGGAGTGACGTCTAAATACTGAGAGTCCTACAATAAACACACAGACAGTCACATATGAGTATGAGACATTACTGCTGTCACGTCACATCAGCAGATCCATTTCAGAAAAAACACACAGTATATTCATATTACAGCCAGAGATATGAATGAACAACTGATCAGAGATTAATAACAGTGAATGATCAACAACTCTCTCTTGATCATTTACACCCTGAGACACTGGAAGAGATGAAAATATTCATATATTCATAGATTATCACAGAATTAAACACAGTTTAAAGTAGACTAAAGTGGAGTTGAATTATTATCTTATATTCTCCAATTACACACATATGAGGCCTTTTACTAAACTCTGCGCATTTTAAAAGATTTAAATAATAATATAGGCTACTCACAATAGTATATTGTCTCCAGTTTATAATGTGGATCATCTTTCAGATCAGAGAGTAACTTCACTCCTGATTTTCCTAGTTTATTCCCAGACAGATACAGTTCTCTCAGGTGTGAGGGGTTTGATCTCAGAGCTGAAGCCAGAGCAGCACAACCTTCATCTGTGACTCCACAATTACTCAACCTGTAGAGAACAATGACACTCTTCAGTCTCTCAGTTCAGGAAACACTGATATAAATGATATATAATTTTTCCTTTTACTGCTTTGGTAAGAAAGTACATGCTAAAGTGTTAAATGTGATCATGTTTTATCAGTGTAGTGAGTGTTGTCAGTGTGACTTACTGAACTGATCTGGATTCTTTAATCACAGGCAGCAGCTTCTGAAGAACTTCATCTGCTGTATTTTGGGCTCCAACAAACTGTTTTAGATTAAACTCATCCATCTTCTGCTCTGATGTCAGCAACACATAAACCAGAGCTGACCACTGTGAAGAGGAGAGTTTGGTTTCTCTTATTTCTCCAGATCTCAGATAATCTTGGATCTCCTGCATCAGTGAATCATCACCCAGTTCATTCAGACAGTGGAAGAGATTGATGGATCTCTCTGAAGAGTGATTCTCCCTGATCTTCTGTTTGATGAACTCAACTGTTTCCTCTTTGTTGTAGTTGCAGCTTCCTGTCTGTGTCATTAGTTCTCGTAAGAGAGTCTGATTGGACTCCAATGAAAGACCCAGAAGAAAACGCAAGAAAAGGTCCAAATGTCCATTTTTACTTCGTAAAGCTACATCTACAGCTCTCTTATGCAGCTCAGATAATGAAACATATTTCTTCTGGTTTAAAATCTTAGAAAACACACTTTGTTCAGTTTGGTCGAACACATTTATGTAGTTCTTTGTAAAGGAGAGGTGCACATATAGAGCTGCTAGATGTTCCTGGATGCTCAGATGAACAAAGCAGAAGACTTTCCCCTGAAACAAGCCAAACTCCTCTCTGAAGATCTGAGTGCACACTCCTGAGTACACTGCTGCTTCTCTCACATCAATGCCACACTCTCGCAGGTCTTCCTCATAAAAGATCAGGTTGCCTTTCACAAGTTGCTGAAAAGCCAGTTTCCCCAGTTTGACAATCATGTCTTCATCTGTCACCTTCTTCTCATAGTGCTTCTCATGTGTGATGTTGGTCTGAAGGATCAGGAAGTGTGTGTACATTTGAGTGAGAGTCTTGGGAATCTCTCCACTCTCTGCTCGACTCAACATCTTCTCCAGAACAGCGGCTGAGATCCAGCAGAACACTGGGATGTGGCACATGACGTAGAGGCTCCTTGATGACTTCAGGTGTGAGATGATTGTATTGGACAGACTCTGATCACTGATTCTCTTCCTGAAGTATTCCTGCTGACATAAATTAGATGAGTAAAACTGATAGTAAAAAAATCTCTTGACAGCCTAGACAGAAATATTTTACCTCAGATTAGATGGCATGTGTTTTCCCCTAAATATTCTTGGAGTGTCCGTTAACTTCTTACTAATTATGGACAAACATGGACAACAGAGACTATACAATTGAGCAGTGAAAAGCAGTCGAAAAACCAAATGTGTGCAAGGGAAATTTGTACAATTTTGTTGAAATCACACAGAATTACCTTATAAATTAACCTCTCATACAGAACAATCAAACCCAATCTACAGTGGGTACGGGCAATATAACAAAGAGTGAAAAATTTAAGGGGGTCTGAATATTTTCCGTACCCACTGTATCTATCTAATCTATTCTTACATTCTCACATTGATCTATTTAAAAAGAGATGTTATACCTCAGATCAGTTGATGTGTGTCTTCCCTCAAATTTTACTGGTTCTTTCATAGACCGGTCACTCTTCATGGACACACAGCTGGACTCTGGTGAGATTGATCTGTCACTTTGGCTTTAACAGAATAGAGACAATAGAGTATAGAATAGAATAGAAGGGAAAAAAATCATATAGTTGATTTTATGTGGAGTACATTAATATAACAAAGAAAACATGAAAACATATGAAAAGTATTTTCAGCAACTTTAAATGAACTGATAAAATAAAAAAAATGGAAACCTGAATAATCATTACTTTACTGAAAAACATCCACAAATTGTTTCTATATTATGTTATCTACCTGTATCTATCTTTCTATCTATTGTTTTAGATATTGATTTTGCTATTGTTATTTACCTGCTTCAATGTTATGTTATTTGCTTGTATTTATGTTAACACCGTATATGCTTTGATATAAAAATGTTTGCACTTGCAATATTTGCTTTGTTAGGATGAATAAGCAACAGTTGTGAAAGTTAGATGTCCGAGTTTGATGCTCTGTAAGCAACCACAAAGTTTAACAAGAAGGTAGAAGGTATAGTGGTGAAGAGACTACAGTGAAGAAGAGGGCCAGATGCAGACAGCAACGTAATCGACAGAGGAAGGACATCCGTCATTGATATGTAGTTGGAATTACTCAAAAAGAAGCAATAATAAAAATAATAATAATTTGTTACATTTATATAGTGCTTTTCTGGGTACTCAAGGCACTTTACATAGAAGGGGGAATCTCATGGATATATATGTAGATGCCTCATTAGCGACTGTTTCTATGGGCCGCAATACGCAAGTCATCTGCCATTTTTGGAAAGGTCTGCGAACCCTCAAGCGCAATTTGACTGTGTGCGTCCACAACTTTGCGTCTTTGAATATTCATTGATTATTATGGTAAATGACGTCAAGTTGACCGTTCAAAAATGGCGGACGCATCAACGTATCTGGAGCGGTTGAATGTGGCATCTATACATATCTATGGGGAATCTCCTCAACCACCACCAATGTGCAGCATCCACCTGGATGATGCGACGGCAGCCATATTGCGCCAGAACGCCCACCACACACCAGCTTATTGGTGGAGAGGAGAAGGAGTGAGGAAGCCAATCAGTAAAGTACAAAAAGTTCTGAGGATTAAACCACTCTTCTGATGCTGCCTGCATTAAGCATGAAGGACACCTGATACCCGATCGATGAGCGCATACCAGCATCTCCAATATGTCTGTTTAGAGTTTGATTTAAGAACTCATAGCTTAGCTGATTTTGTTTTATTTTTGCATTAAAGGGTTACTCCACCCCAAAATGAAAATGTTGTCGTTTATCACTTACCCCCATGTCGTTCCAACCCTACTTTCTATTCATCAAAGAATCCTGATGTACTCAGTTGTTTTAAATATTGATAATAATAATAACAACAAATATGTTTCTCGAGCAGCAAATCAGCATATTAGAATGATTTCTGAAGGATCATGTGACACTGAAGACTGGAGTAATGATGCTGAAAATTCAGCTGCGCATCTCAGGAATAAATTACAATTTAACAGATATTCACATAGAAAACAGTTATTTTAATTAATAAAAATATTTCACAATATTACTGCTCTTGCTGTACTCGTTTGGATCAAATAAATGCAGGCTTGGTGAGCGGAAGAGACTTCGGTAACGCTTTAGATTACAACCCGCAATGTACTGCTTAAATAAACAGAATTTACAGCGTAACTTTTTTGTAATTACAACTGGAAAATAGGAGAAAACTAATCAAAGCGCAGACGAGGGACAACTTTGAAACTGCCTGGAGTGTGTTCCTTTAAAACTGCAGCAGTGTGTGGTAAGCGCAAACTGGAAACAGCTGGAATGGCGCATGAGACGAGTCTATCCGTGTTTGCGGCGCTAATGACAGGAATATGTGTAGAAAATACAAGAAAACTAATCGACATGAAGAGGAGAGAGATTTTTGAAACTGACTGGAATGTGTTCTTTTAAAACTGGAGGGTTTAAAGTTATTTGGTGATAGTGGTGTTGAGAAGTTGCTGGTGTGAAGTTGCTGAAATCGACGAATAAGCTTTCATAAGGTAAGTAGACTTGTGAATTATAAATCATAGCAGAAACTCATTAACTCATTTCACTAGATGTCCAGTTGTGTTGTTCAGTAATCTCCATCATGTCCGTCCTTTTATAATAGAATCTGTACCCCATGGTTAAAAAATACCTATACGCCTATAATAAAATATCAATATCAAATTATAAAAAGTATATATCGTCTTTCTAAATCATTCCCAAACATAAGATTGTTGTTTAGGCCATACATACCACGTAATATTAGAAAATACTTAAAGTATAATTGATTTGTAATTGTACAGGTGGTTACCGCTTTATTCCCCAAACATTGCATATTATTTCCATATACCTACACGGAGGTACTGAATAGGTATAATTACAAAAATGTTACGCTGTAAATTCTGTTTACTTATGCTGTACGTCGCGGGTTGTAATCTAAAGTGTTATCA